TCAATTGAGCAATCAGCGGTGCAAACACTTTGGAGATCAAAGATGTGTTACTTGTTGATATATTATTGGATCAACTCGATAGTTTGTTATGTGTAGAATTTGCTAAGATAATGCAGGGAGAGTTTGAAATGTCTATGATGGGAGAATTGACATTCTTCCTTGGACTACAAATCAAGCAACTTAAAGATGGCACTTTCATCTCTCAAACTAAATACCGCAAGGAAATTCTCAAAAAGTTTGGTATGGACACCTCAAAGGAAGCTAACACACCCATGGGAACTTCATGCTATTTAGACAAGGATGAATCAGGTTTGGAAGTAAATCAAACTATGTATAGAGGTATGATAGGATCACTATTATACTTAACTCGCTAGTAGACCCGATATTATGCATTCCGTTCGTGTGTGTGCTAGATTTCAAGCTTGTCCTAAAGAATCTCATTTAATTGCGAGTAAAACATATTTTAAAATACTTAAAAGGAACTACTGGATTTGGCTTGTGGTATCCGTCTCGATGCTTGTATTAGTTTATTAGGATATTCTGATGCCGATTATGGTGGATGTAAAATTGATAGGAAAAGCACTAGTGGGACATGTCATTTGTTAGGTTCATCCTTAATATCATGGCATTCTAAGAAACAAGCATGTGTTGCTTTATCTACCACTCGAAGTTGAATTTATTGCAACTGGTAGTTGTTGTGCTCAAATTCCGTGGATGAAACAACAATTAGAGGATTATAGCATATATTTAAATGACATTCCATTAATGTGTGATAATACGAGTGCAATCAACTTAACAAAAAATCCAGAGAATGCACTCTAGGACTAAACATATTGAGATTAGACATCACTTTTTAAGAGATCATATCAAGCAAAGGAAACTGTAAGATAGAGTATGTAGACACTAAACGTCAATTAGCAGATATATTTACTAAGCCTCTACCCAAGGATAGATTCTATGATCTTAGAAGAGACTTAGGGATACTATAAATAGCTTAAATTCCGCTTAATTTGATCTGTTTTTGGATGATTGTTATGATTAAATTCGTGATGCAGGATATTCATAGGTTATAATGTGCCAAAACCTTAAAAACTTGATATAGCCTCCGGAATAATCGATTACCTGGAAGTGATAATCGATTATTTTCCCTTAAAAACGCCCAAAACAGGGTATTCTCCTTCGGAATAATCGATTATTTACTCGGAAATAATCGATTAAAGCTATCGGATATTGAAATAATCGATTATCTTGAAATATAATCGATTAAATGCGACTCAGCTTTGCCTCTTAGCCGTTGCCAACGGATATTTTGCCATGAAATCCTTTCTATATGACCGTTGGAAGTGTTTTCTCTATAAATAGAGACATCTAGGTCAATTATACTCACTTCTAACTCTTGTAATCAAGTTTTCTTGAAATCTATACTCTCTTTGCTTCATTATTCCCTCACTTGTCTCCAAAATCTCTTCAAGTTTATCTACTCTTTCAAATGGCCTCATCCTCTCGCCCTAAGATTCCTACAAGAAGAAGATCTGCACCTTCTTCTCATTCCCGTCCTAATTCCGTAGAAGGATGGATCTCTCGATGCGAGATGGTCAACAAGAATTTCTAACCTCACTGGAAAGAAAAAGCTATTATTTCTCCCAAATTTCTTATAGGTGAGCAATTCATTCGTAGGGGTTTCAATTTTCCTAATCTTCTTGAAATTCAAGGAATTCTCCCGTTTATCCAAATGCAAGGTACATACTATCCCGACTTAGTTAGGGTATTCTATTCTAGATTCAAGTTTAGGGATCAAATTGCTACATCCCGTGTAAAAGGGGTTACCATAATTCTAGATGATGATATTTGGGAAAATGTTGCTCACTTCCCCATTAGAGAAGATGCTATTAACGTTTATGGTGAGCTAGATGACTTTGACAGGTTCTTAGCTTATCGATCTTTTCTGCGGAATCCTTCTCTGGAGGTTGGACGTATTCTTCATGCTCGGACCTTTAAAGAAGGAAGAACGCATGCTTCTACATTTACTTGTATGGATCTTATGTCCCCAGGCTACGAATCATGCCCAATGCTCTTCCATTGATCTTCGAATTATTCATGCCATAATAAATAATGATCCTTTAGATTGGGGTGTTCTTGTCAAAATGACCATGCTTAAAGCAAAACGTCATCACACCTTCAAAATTCCATATGCACTTCTTGTATCCCGTATTCTTGAATATAAAGGAGTGAATGTTGAAGGTGAGCAAGCAGTTAGAACAAACAACTTAAACCGCATGTTGGACAAGCACATTGACTCAACTTCAAATGGTGCGTGTCAATGACATCTATGTTCACAAAGATGACGTTCAAAATCAAAGTGATGCAAATGAAGACTCGATGAAGATATGCCTCCAGCTGATAATTTTCCCTCTAACCAAATCCAAAGTGTTGGAACATCCTCGTCTCATCAAGAAACAAGACAATCCATGGAAGATATGCTTTCCGACATGAATCAAAGAATGCAATCTTTCTTCAATCTTTCCGGAGTACGCCATGATGAAATTATTCGTCGCATATCCGATGTAGATGATAGAGTGGGTAGATTAGAAAATAGATTTGATACTCACTTTAATGATGAGGACAAGTTGAAGAATTTTAAATTCTGTTATGTATTTTCTTTTGTTATTGTAATGGATAAATGATTATGAAATAAAATTTGATGTTTCTTTTATGCTATGATTGAGGGGGAGCTTTCTCTAACTTATGCATATTTTGAGGGGAGCTCTTATGATTGATGTTGCAGAGTTCTTTTTGATTATAATCAAAATAGGGGAGAAAAATTTAAAGCCTATGATTCAATTTTAAATTTTATCTCGGTATGTTTAATGTGTTTGTTAGTATGACAGATAAAACGAGTTATTACAAAGGGCTTTAAAAGAAAATTTTGATCATCATCAAAAAGGGGAGATTGTTGACAATTCAAGGACTTGATGTTGCACTTGATGAATATGAAGAATGGATTTTGATGATGATCCAAGAACTAAAGACTTAGAATATTGAAGATTGAAGATTGGTGATAATTGTATTGTAATAACTCCGATTTATTTAAGATTGAGTCTGTATTTTTAGAGTCTAAGATAGCCTGGTACATAGTCCGTAACTTAGAAGCTTCAAAAAGCTCAAATTTATCATTCAGAGCTCGGGTTTAATCGATTATATAGGTAAATAATCGATTAAAACAGATGAGAAAACACTTTCTATACAAACTCACTTTTTTAATCGATTAAAACAACGAAAAGAATCGATTGTTTTGTACTGTCCAGTACAGATAATCGATTATTTCACCAAATAATCGATTATTCCAGAGAGGGTTGGGTTCTGAAGTATTTGGCTCTGTTTTAATCGATTATTACTCCAAATAATCGATTATTTCGATCTGCTTTTTCAAATTAAATTTTAAATTAACCCTATTTTCGAAAACCCAATTACCAAGAACCCTAGTTTCGAAATCCTCAATTCCTAAACCCTAATTTCCCTACTTAAACTCGCTTTAGCACTCGGAAACAATGAACAACTAAAGAACAACTCTTTCCATACAAAAGTTAAGTGCTTGTGAGTGCCGGAGAAGCTGTTTGTTGCAAGGAAAGGGGCTTTTGGAAACTCGATGTGAGGCTAGAAGCGATAAGAATCACTAAGTGGAGTTCTTAGTGGATTGAGTGTTGTGCCGTCTCGGGGAAAGCCGTTCTTCGGGGCTTTTGGAAACTTGGTGTGAGGCTAGAAGCGATAAGAATCACTAAGTGGAGTTCTTAGTGGATTGTGTGCTGTGTCCGTCTCCGGGGAAAGTCTGTTTATCATCTCTTGTGGATTTCAAGAGAGGTTTTATCTTTAACTTTATCTTTTTCATTATAATTTGTGTTGTAACAACTTTGTTCTTAGTGACGAGCGTTAATCCTCTTTTGAGTGATTAGCAACTCGGACGTAGGGTCTTTTGATCCGAACCAAGTATAAACCTATTGTGTAATCTTCTCTACTCTTCTCTATTTACATTTACGCAGTTTTTAATCGGTAAAATTTGGGGAAAATTTTGAAAACCTAATTTTTATTAAGAAACCAATTCACCCCCCCTCTTGGTTTTTGTCCGACCACGCGAACATTCCATTGCGCGATTCTAACAAAAAATACCTCAAACATTTGAATTTACCCGAAACAAGTTAAAAAATGTAAAAAAAATAAAACTAACAAATATTTTTGCAAGGACTAAAATCATGAGTTATATTTTAAAAAAATATTTATAATTTTTCCATCATATAACTTTCTTCTCGTCCACGATTTTTTTTTGCACGTTTATATTATTTGAGAGTATTTTTTTTTCAATATATGTTTAGTGGTACAACTTAAAATTGAACAAAATTAGGTAAAATTAATGAAGAGTAAATCAATCCCATAATGTATATTTAAACAAGAGGGGAAAAAATAAGGCACGTAGCATTATTTTATTTAATAAAAAAATAGATTATGCATCAAACAATTTTACATCATCATTATAAACTGTTGCGATAAATTTATTGATTTTTTTGATAATTATTTTTGGAATGATAAAACTAATTTGTTAATAGTGCAAAATTACTGCCAATTAAGCTGTAATTGAATTCCATCACGACCAATGTAAATAAATGAAAACATTGATGTTTCGATTTTGGTGGATGTAATAATGGTACCATATAAGTGTCTTCGTGTTGTCATTTTGCACGAGCGGAATAAACGTCTTCCATTACCTAAATTGAAAATTTTCCTACAAACAAGTGAGAAATACGAACCCGAAATAATAACAGTAACATGGACAAAATAACATTTAATACTATAGAATATTATTAGTATTGTTTTCTAATCAATTTATTTAAATAATTTTTTTATTAAATATTTTACATATTACTAAAATAAAAGTTTAATGTAATAGGGAACAATATCAACTAGGGCTATGACAGAGAAGTGTGTCTGAGATACAAACAAAAATAATACTAAGAAGTGGTTGCATCGTACGCGGGGGACATACTTTTCTCATAATAGGACGTAGCAACCCTTTGGCTTAGGACGTTTACGTGATACACCGTACGTATTTCACCACACCACAACATCACAAACCTTTTACCACAACCAACAACCTCATTGGCCGTCATTCTCCCCACTGTCACAGCCATGTGACTCGTAACGGTGGAAAGCTCGTCACGGGCTAAGGCACGTGCACCGCATGTGGACACTACGAGTTGTACGTTAACGACAGTTATACCCCCGGATGGACGAGAAAAGACTGAAGTACCCCTTTTCATGTACGACTGTAGAAGTGTTTGAAGCGGAGAATGGTGATGGAAACGGAAACGGAAGTTTCGTGTTTATGAACAGTGAGTGACTTACGTTGTCCACATGGGTGCGGGCCCTTTTGTTTTTTGATGCCGCTGTTCCAAACCACTTTACCACTTCACTTCTTCTACTGTAATTACCCTCTTCTTTCTTAGCACCTTCTCTGTTTTTCTTACTCCCAGACTTCAACCCTTTTTGCTATTCTGCTTCTATTCCACTAAAGTTTTCGTTTTTCTAGCCTTCCCGGTCTTCTTTGCTCTTTCATTGGGAATGGATAACCAAGATCAAAGAAGAACTCAAACTGCAGGTGTTTTTTCTTTTCATTCTCATCCCCTTTTTCCTTTTCTTCTTCTTCTCTCTATCTTTTCCTTTCCGTGTTCCATTATTATATTATTTCTCTTTCTAGGTTTTGTTGGGTTGGTGTTTTTGTCGTGAAAAGTCTTTGTCTTTCTTTCTGGGGTGTCTGGTTTTTGGAATTTGTGTCTGGGCTCTTTTTTTGGAGTTGTAAGTTTCTCGATGTGAAGATTTTTATGGTGTTTTTTTGTTTTCTAAATTTGGATGTTGAAGGGCACGAGAGTCATGGAGTTCATTTGTGTCACAAATGTGGATGGCCATTTCCAAATCCACATCCTAGTGCCAAACACAGGCGTGCTCACAAGAAGATCTGTGGAACCATTGAAGGTTACAAACAGTCTGTCTCTGAGGGACAGCCCCATTTGAATGGGTCAGATGATGAACATGTTTCTGATGATGATCACAAAACGCCAGGTGAGTTTCCTTTTTGATGTGTAGTATTTTAAGTGTGACACTGAGGAAGGGTAGGAATGAAGTAAATCTAACTGATCTTGAGTTTATTTGTATGACCTATGAATTCCAAAATTGCTAATTTGTTACTACTTTATTAGGTTCGGTTTTGTCAGGTTCAAATTTCTCGGAAACAGGCAACAATGAGAAGGGCAATGCAGGAAATGTAGAGAAATCTATTAGATCGGAATATGAGGTGTTTACGGATGCAGTTGCAGACTTTTCGGATAGTGGATCAAATCCAGATATTAAGGACCGGTTGCAAGATAGTTTGGACTACGGAGCTGATATGGAACTTGTAGATTCAAAAGAACCTAAATTTTCAGGAATTTCTGAAGACAAAGAGTTCAATGGTGGGAAGATAGTTTTTACACCACATTTCCTTTTATTAACTTGACTTGGTTTTACTTCATTTACCGAGAGTTGACCTGTGGTACGGTAAAATATTATTGCCTGATTAATTTAACGTTGGGAAAAATATGCTTGATTTCAAAAAGTATTTAGATCAGTTTATTGACTTCATTTGGTTATGATAACTGGATTGCTCAGCTTAGTTCTAGAGAGCAAAAATTGACATTTAAGATATGAATCTGTTCACATGATTGCTGCGTATGAGCGTCAATACTGACATCATGCAACCAAACGTTCACAATTCCTCTTGCATTCATTTGTTCAATAAAAGCTAACCTGGGTATTATTTTTATGCGTATTAGAATTAATTTGTCACTGTTAGAAATTTAATCATTTTATTTTTGAGGGAAAGTGTTGGCACAAAAAGAATATATTTGTGTGTATTTGTGGAATTTCGAAGTTCTTATTCTATCAAAATGTTATGACGGTTTAAGATTGTGAATTCATTTGTCTGCAGTTTCATAGAAATTATGAATTCATATTATTAAACAGATGATCTATGTCGAATGTAAAATGGATATTTTCTTATGAATATATGAGGTAATTGCAGCAGGGAAGATTTTACAATGGGGATGACCTTTTTAGTAAATATCTATATCCAGAATGTCTTTTCTGTACCTTTCTATTTTGCAATATTTTTGTGTAACTATTTTTCAAACTTACCTACATTTTTTTTAATCAAGATAATGAGCTTTTGTATTTTCAAACTATAGGAATATATGGATGCACATATCCAGGTTAGGATAAGTGTATTGATGAAAACAGAACTACAATATTTTCCAATAATGATATCGTCCAGTATTGAGGAGTTTTCTTACAATTTCTCTCTTACTGAGTAATTTGTCTTTTCTGTAGTTCTGTCATGTGATGATCTGTTTTGCAGCTGCAGATTTGAGTCCATCAATTGACAAGTCAACTGATGACTGCCAAACTCATAATCCTAATATTGTGCAAAATGAAAGTGTTGAAGTGGGAAACATGGTGGGGTTGCAAGGTGAATTGTCAGGCCCTACCGGGGATCCATCATCAAGTTCCATTGCAGATCTGAGGACTGCTGAATCAACTACTCTGGACAGTGAAGTTTTTCTTGGGTTGTCAAGTCATTCACCTCCCGGAAAAGCTGAAGCCATGCCTGATAATTCTATTGTTTTGCCAGTAAAGAATATCCATGATGTTGAGAATCTGACAGATTGCAGTTTGATATCTGTTACAAAGGTGACTAATTTGAAAGAAAAGGATGAGATTAATTCGGCCAGAGATGTGGTTGAAATTGTGGAATCATCTGATTACATTGTAGGTGAAACATGTGAAGGAGTGTCTAAAATAGCAGTCAGTGATGTAGTTTGTGTGGATCATCAAGTAGGTGATGGAGCTATTCATCTGCAGGAAAAGAGTGGTGCTGAAATGAATTCTAACACAGATGTGGTTGAAATTTCGGAACCATATGATAATGTTGTTGATGAAATGAGTGAACAAGTGTCTAAAATAGTAGTTAGTGATCTAGTTTCCTTGGATCATCAAGTAGGTGATGAAGCTGTTAATCTGAATGAAAAGAATGAAGCTGACTTCCTTTCTTTGTTGCCCCCAGATAGCCTTCGTCTTGAGTTAAACTCAACTGTAATCACAGGTGAAGCTCAGGGAGAGTCTGCATATGGGGTGCAGTTTGCTACTTCTATTGATGACAAGATTTTGCAGGCAAAGGGAGAAGAAAATGCTTATGTTGATCTGCTTCCTATATGCAATGATAAACCTGATGATGAAGCACATCCTCAGAGTGAGTATGGAGACTTTAAAGATCAGGATCGAGTGGTATACCAAAATCCTTTCCTACACTCATCCAAGTCATTGGAATATGAGGGAGATGACGGAAAGGACATAGATACTCAGGAAAATAAATTTCATTTTGACAGATGCCAATTGAGTGGAAGAAGTGAGGCCATCTCTCCAGATATAGATGTTATAGGTAGTAGCATGAAGATGGAACTGGTTAACAGTGAGCCTACACCTAAAGAAATGCTTGCTGAAGAGTGTACTGATGTTTCCCCAGTCAAGCTCACAGATAAAAGTTATCAAACACCAGATGAAATTGTTGCATCTATGGATGCTATGAAAACTGAGAAGAATGAGAATCATATGGTTCATTTTTCTGAAGAGCATGGACCTGATGATGTGCCTAAAAATTCTGTACAGATAACTTTATCAGAAGGTAGTGTAATAGGCTCTTCTAATGAGAGTCAGAGGGAGGAATTCTTTGGGTCTGCTGTCAGTGAAGCAAATAGTGTTACTAACATAGACAGCACAAATCATCATGGGGAAGGAGCTGAAATAAATGATGTAGCTATAGATGGCAAGGTTGTAGGAGCTACTGGAAATAATGACGTTGAAATTATATTGAAAGATCTTCAATCTGAAGTCAAGCAATCAGAGGACTTATTTGGGAGTGATGGCACTGGTAAGAGCGCTGGCGCTGATGAACTGGGAAAAATTGAACAATGTAATGTGCTTGATACAAAGTATAAGGAAAGTCCAATTGTAACTGATACTTCATTGCCTAAATCTGCTACCAGTCATTTTGAAAGGCCAGTTATTTCAGTATCTTCAGACAATGTGGTTGATGGGCCTGCAAACAAGTCAAATGCTACAGAGTGCAGAAATATTAATCCACTACCAGCTGCCCAGAAAGACATAAAAGAAGATGAAATCAATATTAATATCGAACTAAATGAAGAATGTAACGAACCTGTTGATACTTCTACTGAGTCACATGGTGCTGGACTATTGGTGAAGGCTGCAGAAGACCTTGCTAGAAAGTATGCATCTCCTTTAACTGCTGAACCTTCTGCTCAAGATGATTCTGAAGATAATCCTGATGGAGAGCCTGACAGGGAAATGCCTGGAATTACTATTGTGCCTGCTCAAGATCAAAAAGATAATATGGGTAAACTTGGTTCATCCAGAGTTGATGCTTCAGTTGACTCGGGTAGCCGGTGTGACAGCTTGGAAGGCAACTGGGGCTCTGTTTCAGGTATACATACATTTATTGTTAATAAAAGACATTTGTACTGTTTTGAAACATTTTCTAGTAGGGCTATTGAAATATGATAGGGCTAGTCAATAAAATGAGGTAGCGTGATGCAGTGCTTGTCAAAGAGAATTATCTGGAGAACCAGGAGTTATTCAGCAATAATGTTCCTTTTTTTGTACTTTCCTTCTTGCTATGTTGTAATTAGAGATTAAAGATCCGTGATTCAAACACAATAACCTTGTCTCCGAAACTGCTTTTTCATACCTAATATCTGCCCTTCTGCGATCCCAGCTGACAGTTGTGTAAGTTTTTAATCTGCACCTGATTTCTCAGGACACACATTGCAGTTCATACTATTGGGTGACATGATCGTTTGTTATTGCAAATATTTTAGCATAGTTGATTAGAACGGGTGAGATCTTTGCATGAACTTATGCACACCAAAGACACATACAGGCTATATTATACCTGTGTGCAATTGTCTAGATCGTTCATGCTTACAAATATGCATGCTTAGATCTTGTCTCTTAATGTTTTCCACTTACTATAGTAATATGTTGGTTTGGTGTGATCCATATTGTTTTTCTCCCTCATGCTTCTAGGGGTGTTTTTCCCTGTGGAGAGCTGGAAGCGGATCCATCTTTTGATTTTGTCCTTGCCTTGCTTTATTTGCGTGAAGCCCTAAAGCTAAAATACTAATGATTATTTGATCAATAATTTGTTTTTTACTTTTTCTTTCATGATCCATTAAGCAGTTCCCTCAATGCAATCCGATGCGCCAGCAGCTATTGATGCTGAAACCTTGCCATCAACTTGTTTGCTTGTATCAACAGAAGCAGGGAAGTCAAACTTAAACAACCCAAAAGCTGCGGCTGATAGACAGCTGTCTGATAAATCAGATATGTTTGAACCGCCATCTTTCATGACCTTGGTTGAACCTAGTCAGGTTAGCCCAAAAGCCACTGCTTCTGAAATCCAGAAGGGACAGAATCCAAAAGAGCCAGATTCTACTTCACAGGCTGGTTGGTTTCCCACTATAAATCAGGTTGTTAACGAGTCTCAAGGGAGAAAGAGGAATGAAGAAATAATAGCCAAGGTGACAAACTGGAGCGCCAGTAAGGATCACACACCTCTGAAGAGCCTCTTGGGTGAGGCTGCCCATAGCAACAAGCCAAAATCTCCAAAAGTGGGAGAAAACTCAGAGAGTCAGAAGAGTAGTCAAGTTCCAGAAAAGAATGGTTCTGGATTGACTACTGTTAACTCCATTCTGGGTCCTGAATCCCCTGCAGCTCAAGTGGTAAAAGGAGAGGTTGCAAAAGAATGGAACTCTCCCGCAAGATATCCTGCAGACATCAAGAAAGAAAAAAGGAAAGTTAAGAGCAGACCATACTGGATACAATTGGTATGCTGCACATCAGTAGGTCCTCAGAGAAGGTAGAGAATCACCAGATGCTGATAATGCTCCCACACAGTTCTCCACTATGATTTTCTGATGGATTCTGGTTATTCACATACTGTTTGCAGTATTTTTCTGTTTAGTTTGTCATTAGGTGCATATCTCGATCACGTGTCTTCTATTCATTTACTAGCCCTCTAGGAGTTTGGTTGTATATGTTGACCATCTTCAGTTATTATTTTACCACTGCAATATTTACATTATTACTATACTTATTATGTAACGTATCATTATTTTGGCCTGGACCTCTATTTTAGTCCGGTCTAAGTTGTTGAAAGTTTTTGTCCAGAAGACATGTATTCTTCAGGTAAGGAATTATTGTCATTGTCTGATATTATGTCTGAGAATAACTTGCAGTTTCTGCCTCCACATTGGATTCTGGTTAAACCTTTTGGTAAGCCCCTAAGTAGAGATATGGGATTGAAGGGGTTCTGCCTTTAGGATATCTCCTTAATGCCTCTAAAGTTGATTCTCAAAAAACATTCATATAGCCATAATCCAGTATCTGTTTTACTTCTATTTCTAGTTAATTGGTGGCCCAATTTTTTTTGAAATGGAGTTATGTTAAAATTCAGCAGGGAGAGAATCTTGTCATATTAAATGGTGTTACACAAGCTTTAATAAGAGAAATCAAACTCAAGGAAAACGTCGCATAGATATATCATTTTATGTCTTTGATTGTAAGTAAAGTAGTAGATTATGTCATTTTTGGTCACCTTATAAAATGAAAGAGAAGAAGAGACAATGGAGTAGAAAAGGAGCAAAGTTCATTGCAAGAAATCGAACATGCGCACCCAGTTATTATTCTACTTTTTCAAAAGCATCTACAGTTTCCTTAAACTTTGGTTGTTCAAGGTTTTTATAGAAATACTCAATTCCTACAAATTTAAACTGCATTATCTTTAATTATTGTTTTACACTATTATACTATTTCAATTTTCAAATTACTTTATTTTCAATAATGATTTCACTAACAACAGCATTAATATTTCACAGTTAGTATTTTGTAAAGTTAATGTTATTAATATCGTAATTACTCAAGTACATATAAACATATTTGGCTTAATTATAATTTTGGTATTTAAATTTTACAAAATCCACAATTTTAGTTCTTTTTTTTCATAATTTTAGTCTCTTAATTTTTAATCTTACATGGTTCTTGATTTTTTATATACAATTTTAATCCCTAAATATATATTGAACCACCATCAAATTGCTACCCTTTTCCATCATTTTTAGTATGTAATAAGTATCATAAGTTTTCGCCCAATCTCATTATATCATAAAGGTTGTCACTTTAGGAATACCAGTGGGCCGGATCAGGCCCAGTCAAAGACAAGAAACCCAACCCCCGACTCCAGCACGCTCGTACATGATTGAAGGTAATTTGGGTACAGAGTTGAAATTAGGGTTTGTTGGTTCTTTGATGCAAAACAAAACAATCATTCTTTTTAGTTCACATAATGCTATCTCTCAAGTCACACCCTCCTCTTTTATTTTCTCTATTCAACAAATTATCCTCTCACTGTCTCGCTTCCTTTCTCTCTTTCTCAGCCCAATGCCATTACCAAAACTTCAACGAAACCACTTCCATAGTTGATGACCTAAATGCCAACTTCAAATTCTCCAGAACCCAATTCATTTATGTCTCTAATCGTGTTTCACGGATCAGAGTCCGTCAAAATCCCTTGTCAGTGCTCAATTTTTTCAAAGAAATTGGCTTTACCCAACCCCAGATTGTCTCTATGATTCGTCAGAGACCCCAGATACTGTTTACAAACGTTGACAAAGTCTTGAGACCCAAAGTTCAGTTCTTTCAGCTATCTGGATTCCAGGGTTCCGATTTATGCAGCTTCATTTCCAAGAGTCCCTCCATTTTGACTCATAGCTTGAAGAAAACATTGGCCCCTTCAGTGGAAGCTATTAGGAAAATTGTGTGCGATCAGAAAGATTTTATTCATGTGTTGCACAGATCTGGTTGGCTACTCGTGAATTACAAAAAGTTTATGGACAATGTTGTCTTCTTGGAGAGCTGTGGCATTGCTGGGCCTCATCTTGCATTGCTACTTAAACTAGATCCAAGGTTTTTCAGTTCACCGCAGTCTTTTATTGGAAAGCGTGTTTCGCGAGCTGTAGAATTGGGTTTCCGTGAAAATTCAAGAATGCTTGTTTATGCAATTCATACAATTTGTTGTTTGAGCAATAAAACATTTGAGAGAAAGCTGAACGTAATTAATAGTTTTGGGTTTTCCAAGGATGAGGGCTTGCAAATGTTCAGAAGAGCCCCAACTTTGTTTAGAACATCAGAGAAGAAGTTGAAGGCTGGAATGGAATTCTTCTTGCATACAGTTATGCTACCCAAGTCAGCCCTTGTTTATCAGCCTAAGCTTTTAATGTACTGCCTGGAGGATCGCTTGCTTCCTCGATATAAAGTCTTCCAGCTGTTGAAATCGAAAAACCTTTTTAAGAAGGTCCCCAGTTATATTCATATGTTTTGTTTGCCAGAAGATATGTTCTTGGACAAGTATATATCACGGTTCAGAGAAAATGCAGAGGATTTATTAGTAGCATACAAGGGTCATTATCTCGAGGAATAGTTATATCTTCACATTCTGTTTTTCAGGCTTCTCTACTGGAAGCCTTGGGCAATTTTGTGACCACACCCATTCAACCATGTTGCTTGTTCCGGTTTTGTTACCTGCACTCTATAGCATATTTGAATCAAAGTAATGTGTTTTTTTTTCACATATGCTCTTACCCAAGGTAAATTTTACCCTGTTAATGTTTTCTTCCATTGCATAGTCTATCTCCGTAACGATTGTTTCTTCTGTTTCATTCTTTTCTTATCTCCCTCGAGGAGAACATTGTACTAATCTCATTATGTTGGATGGAGATACGGAGCAGCAGTTCTTTTCAGCTCAATCAAGGAAGTTGTAAACATCTGCAGACGGCCATAGAGCTATCATTATCAACAAGGTCCGAGAATTTTCAACAGATTTTAACAACTGCAACCAATTTTGTATGTTTTTTTTTTATAAGTTTGAACTTATGTGACTTTACAACCTAACCCTATATTTGAATTCAGCATGAATTACTGTTGATGGCATCTCATGTGGGAACAACATTGGTCACAAAGTTCCGTAGCATCTAAAAGTCAGTTGCGTGGACAGTTTTGGCATGTAGATGTTATTAAAGGAAATTTGATGCTTCCGTTAAAAAAAAAGGAAGAGGAACATAGATAGGGGTGGTATTCAGAAATAGTAGAAATTTTGGTTTCTGCTACAATCTTATGCAGAAGGAGTTGGATCTTTTATAGCAGAAAAGTGTCGTTTTTTATGGGTTTAACTGTTACGGCAGATTTGATGTTGCATGGAGTAACTTATGAAACTAATATTAAGGGGTTGTACACCTCATGGAATCTACCACAAACATAGGATGGATCTCAACTAAATGCATGGAATCTTAGGTGATTGCAGAACATTCTTCCATTTGCAAACCATTAATTAGACTTAAAAAAGAAGAAGAAATGATGATAATAAAGTGACTGATTTGTAAGCTAATCTTCCCATTTTTTTTTATAATAACACGTATTGGATCGGGGACATTCCTCATCAAGCATATCTGTTAGTTAATGCTAATGTAGAACCTTTTGTTTTGCCACTTCATTTTGTGGATAAGATTGCCGGTTTAACTCAAATTCATCACCACGAAATTGTTTCAATTTTAAGAAACCTTAACGGAGTTCAAAATCTTGGTGCGATTCGAGTTTTTCTTTTACTCAATTAATACCTCCTCCTCCTCCTCAAGGATCGGTATGCCTTGGAGGACACAATCAAGGATAAATTTCTGTGTACTTGGTTAGATAGTTAAAATCCATAAACATGTATACAGATTTTATCGAATTAAAATACGAATGAACACGTAAAGTAGTGTGTAGAATTTAAACTTTATATTAAGTTGAACTCATCATTACAAGAATGCGTTGCCTCTACAAAGGAACAATGGTTCTGTCAAAGAGAACAAAGAATAATGTCAAAATTCCTAGTAGTTGCAGCCTCTTTGACTACGGCGCCGCCGGTTGCACCGCCATGAGATTGATTGTTCGAGAGGGTTGGAGGGTGGTAGTACTTGCGGCCTGTTTGGGGGCAGTTAGAGTGAAACCTTGCGAGGATCCTGACCCCTTGGTCAATGATCCCTACAAGCTTCCCCATGCATCCGATCAAACCCAGAAACCACACACCCTCTTCTCCCTTCTCCTTTCTCTCTTCAATTCTCGAATGGGAATGAAAGAAAGCGAGAAGGGTGTGTTATAAAAAGACTAAGAGACATTAGAATCACGGAGAGGGGAAAGAGAGATTGTTGTTTGTTGTGGGAAAACAGAGTGGCGTTGATGTATAAATAGCTTATGATTTTCTCACCAAATTTCTGGGACAGGACAACGATGTTTCTTGGTTTCTTCGTTTTATAATATTATTTTGGTCGTGATGGTTGACTTGTTCGGTTTGAACGGCGTTTTGGATCTGTTTCTGCTTCCTATAATTGACTAATTGTTTTCTATTTTTTCTTTTCTTTTAAAAAGGTTTTTTTATTGTAATTATTATTATTTAAAGGGTACGGAAAAAGTGAATTGCCGGTCACGCCAAGGAAATAAAGCTAACTTACGTTGAAAATAAGAAAGAGTTAGTAACTGAAATAGTTATTTTTAAAGACTTTTTTTGGAAATTTGGTAAGTCTGAATTTTAATTTAGAAGTCATTTCACATTAAGTCTTTCATTATTATAAACCTACTAGAAGAAAAATTTTAGTTCCGGGTTGGAAAAATATATTTACCATATTTTTATTTTTTTATTTGAATATTTCCCAGGTTTGATTTATGTTTTAAAAAGAACAATTCTAAGACTGATTTTTACTTATGTTTATTACAAAAAAAAATCATCGAATACCAGAGAATCTAACTTTTCTTAATTAAATAAAATAGTATTTTTGTTACCTTATTCGTATTAAATCATTAAATACGGAAATAAATTAAAAAAAATATTAAAACTAACACATTTTATTTTAAGAAAATTTATATAAATTTTTCTAGTAATATTTGTTTGCAAGCCAACAAGCCTTAATCATTTATAAGAATAATAATTTCTAGGATTTTCAGTTCTTAGACATCATGTTTTTTGTGTTTAAAAAAAACAATTATCTCGTACCAGTGATTCCGAAGTCTTTGATTTTATTAGTCATAATAATTAAAAATGAAAATAAGTTAAGTAATATCTGAGATTTGATTTTATAAAATTTGTATTTAATAAAGAATTAAACAATTGAGAGTAACGTTATTTTTATATATATTTGATATAATTTTAATAATTAATTTTATAATTTTAAGATTAAATAGTAAAATTTTATCTATGGCAAGTATTTTAAATTAAGAGCTAAAGATAGAAATTTCATAGTAGAAATCTATTATTCAATTTTATATCTTCAATTTTTTGGTTTTCTTTATAGTAATTTGATTTAAATTGCTCACACAAATGTATTATTACAATGGTGTTTTCATTCATATAATTAATACATGCATAACTGTCGTATTTATATCTTAAAAAAAAATTCGTATTTTATTAATGATATTAATAAAACAAATACAAAATTAAGAATAAAAAGATCAAATACTTTAAAATTTAAAATTCAAAAGAAATGAAAAGACAATTTTCAATTTATTAAATATTCTATTAACTATGGTTAAACTTGATAAATTTATGTATTATAAATAAATTTTAAGGACTAAAAAAAATACAATTCTATTAGTTTTTACCTTATATATATATATATATATATATATATATATATATATATATATATATATATATATATATATATATATATATATATATATATATTATTAATATTAAACTATTTTAGTCTTTCATCTTTTCATAAAAAGAAAAATAAAAAAATAAAACCTAATTTTTATTTAAAAAATATTTGTTAAGTCTATATACACTTTATTATGTATACATTTTTTTTAATACATGTTCAAACGCAGTGAGGGAATTACAGGGGTCACTACTCTCAGACAAAATAATAATATATATATATATATATATATATATATATATATATATATATTATTTTATATATTAAATAAAAATAATTTTATAAATATAAACAATTTTTTTATCTTTTTCCTTTTAAAATTTTATTTATAATAAATATTATATTTATTCTCTTGTACAATTTCATACATACACTTTCTTCACTTTTTTTTCTATTTTCATATTTTTATCTTCTCACTCAAATTTTTTTATTATACACTCATTTTGTTTTTTAACATTTCTATTTTTTTTATCATTTATTCATTTTTATATTCTTGTCTTCCATTATTTGACCTTACATGGTAAAATTAAGAATTTTTTCTTTAGTTTTCAAATTTTTATTTCTTTACAATTTTATCTTTATAATATAAAAATTCACTAGTGGAAAAATAGCATTCTATGACGAGTTTTTATCACGGTCGTAGTCCACCCGTCATAGTATGTAGCGCGGTGGCAATTTTGTAATAAAATCATAAAATTTCTATGTCGGGTAAATTTTAACCGACATAGTAAGTGGAAAGTTCACTTTCTATGTCGGTTAAATATTACCCGACATAGAAAGTGTCTTTGATGACGGGTGTTAGGGCAACCGACATAGTATCTTCTGTTTTACTCTGCTCCAACGCTCCATTTCATGTCATCACTTCACCCATAACAGAGCTCCTCGTTCGCCTGTGTACGTTTCTCCCTACGCTCCATTTCATTTCATCAGTTCACCCATAGCAGAGCTCCCCGTTCGCCTGTGTACGTTTCTCCGCACCCACATTTGCTCGTCGCGCCACCTGCCAACGCTGTACGTCGTGCCGCCTGTTGCTACTATCGTTGGTGCCCGTCGCCTGTGATACGTTTCTTCCCACCCGGCTCTACACGTCACGCCACCTGCCACCTCTGTAGGTCTTCAAGAGGTAAGTTTTCGTGCTTGCTTTAGCCATTGTAGGTTTACAGTATTGAATCTGGTAAATAATAATGCTGTCAAGAGAGGGAAACATCACGGGTGCCTTTAGCTAATTTAGAGATGTATTGTAAGTAGTTTAGTCATTTGAATGTGTTTCTGTAGGCATTCTTTCGTGATTTTGATTTTGAAAATTAGATTTGTATTATAATGTAGTTATTTTGAGAGTGGAGTTGGATTTCGTGTAGGCATTATAATGTAGTTATTTCGTGTTTCTGTAGCTAATTTGATTTTGAAAATTAGATTTGTAACAATGGATCGGAGTTGGATCAATTATAGACGAATAACAAATGAATATGGCAGTGGCCATTGGTACCCCAGAGCATCCTGGACGTGTTCGTGGTGCTGGACGAGGGGTGGGCATCAGACAGTACTTTGGTGCCCCATCCGTGGCAACTCCTTCTTTGAGGCATCTGAATGAGCAAGAGTTTGAGTCCCTCAAACAACAAATTAGGAAGGAGATTCGAGATGAGGTGTACTCTGACTTGAAGGCAGAGTTATTGAGCTCAATGCGAGCAGAGTTGGCATCTTTGTCCTCTCAACCTTCTGTCCCCGCACGAGAGGCATCCCCGATTCATGTCAGCACAAAGGAGAGTTGTGATGCTCCTGATAGAGGGGCAGAGGTTGCTCCTACTGACACTGCTGACTGTGAGTTGTATGTTGCGGGTCCTCCCGAGCATTTGGTGTCATACGGTACGTATTATATCTTTGACATGTATTTGGTACGAGTGTTAAGCATTATATAGTCTAAAATATTTTATCCTTTGTTTACCTTAGGGAAAATGTATGCATTGGGGTCAACCATCCACCACCGAGTATTGGAGATGATATGATAAGAGTGGTGGTTGTAGATGTTCGGGATGCTGCTGCCCCAATCCCTATTCCCACTGAAGAGGTTCAAACAGTGGGACAGGCACCTGAAAATTTTATCTTATGGCCAGTTTCATTAACAAGACTCATCCCAACACATGCACAGGTTGATTTATGCATTGAACGATAGTACTTATTATTTTTTATAGGTTGATGTATATTAATGTTATTGATTTTTGGTACTTGTATAGAAAGAGGCTGAAAAAGCAAAGGAAGTTGTGCATGAATCACCACCACCACCATCTGCTTTACAGCGAGTCGGTGCACTGGCAGCGACTATCGGGACCACTTCCATACAGTTAGATATGCCACCCGAAGTCGTATGCAGGACCAAGACGATCCCTTTTTTCTTACTCCAAAGGGATATTTTTTATATTCTCACTGGTACTGATATGCTATGTGTATCAGTGTTGCAGCTTTGGGAAATGTAAGTATATTTACATATTTTTTATATTCTCACTGGTACATTATTTTATAACTTTATTTATTTTCAATGTTGAAGGTATTTACATTGTTTGTGTGTTGAGAGGAAGATCCGCTTTCTCTATGAATTTGTTGACCCTGTTGCCATTCAGCCCGTTGGGAATAAAGCTGAAGAGGTGCAAACGTACTTAATAGAGGCATTTCAAACTGGGGGCAAAGAAGTATACTTAGCACCTTACTTGCATCAGTAAGTATACATCTTATAAATTAATGCACATTTATGTAAAACTGAAATTTTACTAATATTATTTCAACGTGCAGGGGTCATTGGCAGCTCATAATCATTGTTCCTCGACAATTTCTTGTGATTCTCTTGTGTTCATTACACAAGAAACCAAATGATTTGGATATTAGAAAGCACATAGACGCGTAAGTTTGGTTTTTTTAATTGTTGTATCATATGTGCACTACTTACACCAAAATTATTTGTCCTTTTGTAGAGCTTTGGAAGCTCACCTAAGGTTGCAAGGCCTTCCATCTCATGCTAGAAAGAAGTTGACGTATATTGCACCAAAGGTGACCAAACACCTCTTACTGTTGTTCAATTTGTCATTTAAAGTTAATCTGACATGTATTTAACTTGTAGTGTCCACGCCAACCGGGAAGCCATGAGTGCGGGTATTATGTGATGAAGCACATGCACACCATCGTAGCCAAAAATATTATGGGCTCATGGAGGGAGGTAAATATACTATAATTAAGTCAAATATGCCAATTATGTAAATGATTTCTAAATCTGAAATGTTTCAATATGTAGGAATTTACAGACTCATCTCCAATGAAGATTGAAGTGTTAGACGATATTAGAGAGCAGTGGGCTTCTTTCCTTTTAAGTATTCAATCTTCATAGCAAATTTGACTTGTAACAATTTAGATTGAATTGATTTAAGTTAGCAAATTTACATTCGTTTAAGTAAATGAA